TTCGGAGTGCGGCTTTCTTGTTCAGGTTTTTAGAACATTGAGTATCTTTAGAACTATAGTGCTCTCTCCATCATGGTTTGTCTTTCGGATCTTTGACGAGCGCAGAATAAAGGATGCTTAAGACTCTTCTATATGGTGGGTTACTATATACATCATGTACTTGCACATCTGAGAGCTGGGCTATCTTCTGTTTCACCCCCTTTGGTCTCACGGTTTTTCTTTGTTCATTACCTAGGTGGCGATGCGCTGCACTGTCCGCAATGCACGCTTGGCCGGCAAAAAGAAGTTCCACTGCACCAGGGAAGGAAACAGCCAACAGGCAGGACGACTTTTTGATTGGACGAGTTGTTTCAACACCTGGACTATGGAGGATAGAGTGGTACAGTGGGCTACTGAGCAAGTAAAACAGCAGGTGGAAAGCAAACGTACTCAACCCCAGGAACCACAGCGTTTCAAGGAGTCCATGTCAAACAACACAGCACAAATCACGAAGTGTACCAAAACGCAAACGGTTTGAGTGCTCAAAGATCCACCCTCAATTTTTTTCAACGAGAATTGATTTCTGGGCTGAAGGACCACAATTATGCTTTCTGTCCGTCCGTGACCAAACAGCAACAATGCACCAGCGGCTTAGGATAAGCGGCACTGGGAATGTCCCACACCTTTTATTGGTGAAAGAAATGTTTGGTAATATGAAGGCGGGTGGGAATTCAATGACACATTGCAGTGCCAGCGGTTCATTGATTTTTTCAGACGTGCAAGCAGTCCCGCTCGTAGTTGCCCACTTAACTGTTTATTAACTCGCGTTTGCGTATGCAAACTACAAAAGCGATGGCTCTTGTAGTTTCATTCCATCGATGACAGCTCTTGTGGTGATGACAGTGTCGCGCAATACATGACAAGACATGGATGAAAGTATAGTGAACCCGCTGTGGTGCCAGCCGCCACACCGCATTCCCTTTGCTCCCAGTATTGCGATTTTAACGGCAATGAATTGGATCGAACTCGATTCAACGTTGTGAAGTTGAGGACAGTGTCCTGAAATCGATGATAATGTGGTGGAACCGGTGACTTCAGGTTTTCAGGGTAGCACACATTGGCTGTTGATCCGGTTTGATGCAGGCATGTTTTTTGCCCGCCATTAGCCATTTGCACAAAAAGACAATCACATGAGTTCGCAATCCTTCACAGACAAAGTCCAACTACGTTGGACAAATCTCATTAGTTCTTTTCTCGAGGTTTTCGTTGCCCTTGGAAGCGGGACCGCGAGCGCAACATCATGGAAATTAGCATAGTGGTACCTGGTTTGAGCTGTGTGATCGATGGAAAATGACTCCAGAAGATGAGGGGGGAGAAGATCAAATCAAAGATGAAGAGGTGCTTCAAAGTTGGTGTGTTGCTCTCATTTCACAATGTTAAAGTGTTTTAATTGATTCTTTTTGAAAGGTTTGGGCGTGTTTGACGCCAGCTGATTTGGAGATCGACCTTGAAGATTTGGAAGCAGACGACCCTTCATGTGCAGAACATGCAGAGCTGGAACAAGTTCTTGGAAAAATGACAGCTGATAGCTGAGTTTTAAGGCAAACAAGTCACGACACCGATGGCACCTGCACTTGAAAAATGCTAATTCACGAGACTCGTCTGAATTTTTGCAGTTTCAAGGTGATTTGTCTTCCCTTCTCAACCAGACCTGCTGAGGCTTTTGCCTCAGGGAACTCTGACGCCATTGCCTCAGGCACAGATTCTGTGTAGAAACATAACATACAGTAATCATTCCGGAACAGATCTTTTGGCGAAGGAAAACCGAGAGAACAACCAATGATTATAGGAGCACCAAAAAACAACAAAACAGCTCTGGCGCAGGATTGCAAAAGCTTTGTGCAGAAGCGGAGATGCTCCAGTTTAACCTGGCTGCGATGGTGTCTTTGCCACAAGAGAACTATCCGTCGTACCTTGCCCGTCGTAACACAAAGATTGCATCAGGTAGACAAACTGACAAACATGTCATTTTGTCGAAACATGACTGACATTACCATTTTTCTTGGCTAGCTGTCACAAGAGATAGTTCACTTCCAGCTATCCCGATTCGACCAACGTTTTTCACTATTTTTTGGCTAGGGGTTCAAAAGGCAGATGCCAGGCCTTGCTATGTCTTGGCCTCTTACCGTGTGGAACAATGCAGCCGTGTTGCCAAACTGCACGAGGTGGCCAAGGTGGCGTGCGGCTGCTTGGGCCAGAACGAGAGAACGGACAAGGATTTCTTCATGCACGATATTCTTGGTCCAGATGTGCAGGTCCTTTTGCTTTTTGTGTGATGGATGATGGTTGATCGGATCTCCAAGTTTTGAACCTGGTTGTGGGAGAAACCTTGGCGCATCGCAGGCCAAGCTGCCATTAGTGAAGCTGCCATGGCCCAGTGCGGCCCAGAGCCTTGCAGAGTACGAGCAACGCCTGGCTGTGCTGCCTGAATGTATGGCTGTCACACGCCACTTGTATTTTTTTGGCGCACCCATCACAACAAGGACAACGTGCAACTTCATTGAATCGATACTTGCTACTTTACTTTCTTTTCAGGGCTTCATTTCCACACCACGAAACTTAGTGCAGTAATCCTTTTGGCTGCTCAAAAATCAGGTGAGCTGCACCTGGCGCTGGACAAGGTGGATCCTCGTCAAGATGCAAAAGACATCAATCGTGACACCTTGGAGGTGAATGGCCTTCAAGTCTTTGGGGCACAGGCTCCGGAGTTTCTTTGCATAAGCTGCATCAAATCCACAGATCTTTCTGCACCAATTGGACTGCTTCTATTGGTCCACAAGCCACAAGTGCCAAGCAGATGCATAACTGAACTTGACTGAAGTTGCCAGGGTGGCTACCAAGCTGCAGTTGATGCTGTTGCTCATGCTCTGGATGCAGATGGATCACAGACCCAAGCGCAACTTTTGTTGAGCCTTCTAAACCGACACATGGCACAAGGGTTGTGGTGGGAAGAAAGCCAGTCACTGTCCTCAAATTGAGGTGTTGCGAACCCATTTTTCTTTTCTTTGATACAAGCAAGCTCAATCAGAGTCTTTGTGGATTTGCGACCGGTTGCAGTCCGAGAACCTTTTGGTCAGGAACTACCTCTGGCTTTGTGGCATTTGAGGAAGTTCTTAGGCAACACAGTCGCAGTTGGATGTAAGAAGCAACGTTCGATTTTCCCAAGTTTGCAGACTTGATGCACAACCGAGCGAAAGTATAGAGCATATGGCATATTCACTAGTGCAATGTTCTGTGCTGTTCTGCACAGTATTGGCTGATAGATGTTTTTGTCGATCGTGATTTACTTCCAATAAGGCTATTGGATGGCCCAGAGGTGGTGATTTCACCCGAGAGTGCCAAAGCAAGGCCTCTTGAGCTTGCGATTACTTGTGATGAGCACTGGGTGGCACTGGGCCGAGCACACACTCGAAGCTTGGCACAAGTTTGTGAGCTTCACCACGGTGATTGATCAATAAGAACTATCAAGTTTCATCACATCCCATGACCATCCACCAAAGGCCACTGGTGGGCAGGTCCCTCTTTGGGGAGCCATGTCGAAATACAGATGTTATGATGTTATATAAGTCTATATGTATCTTTTTAAAGGTGATATATTGTTACGAAAGCCAGCCGAAGGCTTAGGCAGGGTCTGTATATGGCGAAGCTAATCTGGGGGGTGTGGGGGTGTCCGGAATAGGTATCATTTGGAAGGGTGAGGCCGGAATAGGGTAGGGGAACGGAAAAAGGGTTGGTCCACTTGTCTCGTTTTTGGACACGTGGACGAACACACCCACGATGTCAATAATGCAGTCTTTCTCGGTCGGCATATCCGGCATCGCGAAGGTTTGGTCCGAAGCCATGTCAATTTTTTTTTATCAATCTTGAAAGATGGACTTTTTCTTTCAAGTCTTGGGCCTATTGCCCGCAGTCGGCATGCTTCTCGATTGCGCGTGTCAATGCTCAAATGACTGTCTAGTCGTGCGTTTCATGCAAACTCTTCGCAACGGTAGAGTACAACATGTCGCAAACTGTGGAAATAGCGAGGTTCTTGATAGTCACGGTGCAGCAAACTACGTAAACTATCTTGTTTTGTTCATTCAAAGATGTTGAAGCAGACAGTGTTTTTAGCTTAAAGTGACCGAGGACTAAACCTGACCTCCCCTTTTGTTGAAAAAAGCAGGGGGTCAGGTTTCAGCTGATTCACGTCGTGTGTTGCCAAGTGTGTTGTTCGAAGAGTCTCTCAACAGAGTTTTTCATCAAGAGTGTGTGGCGAAGAGTGTCTTCACAAGATCGTTACTTTGAGAGTGGTTGACAAAGAATTTTTTTTTGGTAAGTTTACCCGGTGGGTAGCACGCTACTTTGGATTTTTGCCTTTATCTTTGGAATCACATTGTCCAGTCCCGGGTATTTTTGATTCTGGGTGCTTTTGCGCCACCTTGACTACCAGGACATGCACATCCTCCATTCACAACTGAGCTACTCAATGACTCTGACTCATTTTACGTCGCTGGGGGCTGGCTTTTCTGCTCGGGGGCTGGATTTCGTCTGCCCCCCTTCTCATATATATATATATATTTGTATATCGAGGTTCATTTTCGAGCCCACCGCTACATTCCCTAGGCTATGCCGTGCATCGGTCAGATGCTTCGGGGTGTTTGGCTGCTGTCGACGCCTTTGTTTGCTTTCGACTTTCATCCCAAATGCTGCACTTGGCGCAAACCTCTGAGCTGAAGGACAGGAAACGTCCAAACTCAGGAATTGCATCTTTGCAAAACTTTGTTAGCTTCTTTCGTTGGTCTCTCGAGAACAATGCTTCTTCGTTCTTCGAAGGTCCCTGCCACTGTTTTGATGTACAGGTGAGCGCCTCAGGCTAAAGTCCATATGTCTGCACTTGAGACAAGGACGCATGCAGCCTCACGTTCAACTTCAGACTTCAGGTCTGGTGCTAACACAACATGAGCGAGCCAAAAAGATTTGTGCGATAGACAAAAGCATCGTAGACTAGACTACCACCATTTGTCAAATGATGCACATACAGACTTCGAAGTAACTTGTGTGATGAGTGTTGGGTACCGATTCGTTCGTTGGCAATCTCAGTGCTAATCTTCATGTTTGTTAGTGAGGCTGAGGTTGAAGAGTTTAGCTCATTTGAGCAGACTTTGTCCGTTTCATTTTGGCTCCAGCCGCTCAAGAAGCGCTTCCTCAAAACTGAGACTCAGCACCTCAGCTTGGAAACGATCAAGACACAATAACTCGCAATCAGGGTTCCTCCTAGGCATGTTGGGGTTTGCTTCGTGAGTTCCATTCTGAAGAGCGGCCATATGTACGTCTATATATAGTTGTTTCAACTCATTGGCCAGTACGCATGCGGCTACATAGTTTTTTTTCTTTTTTTTTTTTTTTTTCGAGGCTTCACGAGAATCATACATATGCATGCCTTTCACTTTGAGGCTCTTCAGATCTGAGTAAGACAACTGAAATAGAATTCGTTGTTGGGATAGGTGTGCAGCAGTCGTAGTTGACCAAAGCAAACAAGTAAGTACTGACACTGTTTGTGTTGAGCAGACTCTACTGAATCTGTTTCTTCGAAGCAACTAAGGACTTGGCACCTTCGAAGGCAAAGGGAAACGACAGTCTTTTGCACAAAAACCACGTGAGCATATTCGATATTCGCTTTTGCAGCTTGACAGGTCATGGCCACCACAGCACCGCTGTTGCAGAATGACACGCACCTGAGCTTCAAGACAAGAGAATTACAGCAGCTTTCACTTGCGTTGGTCAGCTTGTGCTGCAGGTTGCCGCAAGCCTCTGCTGGCGCGGCTATTGCACTTGAGCTGGGCATCCTTCATGAGGGTTTCAGCCCAGATAGCCGGATCTCCAAAGGCACCAAGTCTACTTCGAGAAAGAAAACAAAGCGAAGAAACCTAAACAGACAGTGTTTACAAAAGCTTGCGAGCAAGTGCTTTTCAAGTCCTTGCGTTTTGAACACTTGAGAACTCACTTTCTTTTGCTGCCTCAGGGGACCAACGGGTGAGTATGGCACCAGATGTGGCGGAGCAGCTCATCAAGGATGGCTATGGAGATTCTCAGCTGCAAAGGGTTGCTTTGGATTCTATTTTCTTGAAAACAGAAGCTATCGGTTTGGGAATCAAATTGAAGTTGCAAAGAACGGCACAGTTATACCCTCTGGCTTGGAAGGTAATCGTGGAGAAGGGAGCCGGCGTGCAGCACTCACTGTGTACTGTGCCAACTAATCACTCCTCCAACTCTATGCATCAATCACCTAAGGTCTATTCAGGATTTTCGGACCAGGCCTGATCAATGCGAATCGTAAATCTGGTTTTCTTTAAGCCAAACAAACTTCGCTGGACTCCTCTTGGCAGGCTTTTGTGCAGAAGGCTGGCTTTCTAAAGCAAGCTTTAGCAGGACACATTCATGTTCGAAGACAGAATCTGGATTCCTGCACTTCGCATTCACAGCTCTCAGTCCTTTTCCATGCATGAATCAGATATTAAATGTGCTTCTTGGTTCCTCAGGGATGCCGAATTGCTGACAGAGCAGAAGTCATCCGCAAGAGCAGTGAACCTTGGCCTTAAATGGTCAACTTCAACGTAGCATTGCGTTGATTCACCGTAAGTTCTTCAAATGTGGGTTTCGGGTCTGTGCTGAGGTGCTATTCTCGATCGAACCGCCAGAGGCAGACTTCCCAGCCTGCAAGGGCAAGGTGAGGTGAACAAACATGGCGGATTTCCAAAGATTTACTGATTTAGCTCCAAATTCATGCATTCAAATTCAATTAGACTTTGTCACAACATGCTTCCTTCTTTGTCTCCTCACTTGTCTCCCCACTAGGTGGCTGTCACGACATGATTGCTTGCCATGCTTGTTCGTCTTCTTTCTTGTCTCCTTACGTGGGCATGGTATGGTTCCTTGCTTGTCCCCACTTCTCTTTACTAAATGGCACTCACGACATGATACTTCTTGTTTTCCCGCTCGGTGGGCAAAACATCAGGTCAATTGCAATTTGGTGCAAACCACACATGTTGGCAAGGGTCTTGCATGTTAAGGTTTTCTTGTTGTATAAAGGAACCATTGTGGGTTTTTACCCTTTTGGGGGTCCATAGTGGCGTAATTCCTTGCTCTACCTTTGTCAAAGATAGTGCAGATGTGATGCTCGATGGCAGCAGCGTCAGGTGGTCGTTTCCTGGGTGGGCCGCCTGCTGGATAAGGGCAAGGAGCGAACGCACAGCTTGTCAATCAAACATTTGCATCCTTGTGCTACAATGCACTTGTGCTACATTTGCATCCTTCCGGTACCCAATTTAATTTTGAGACGAAACACAAGTTTTTGTCATCTCTTGTCGCGCAGGCTGTGTGTGAGAAGGCCAAGGCTGCTGGAGTAATGCTCGTAGACGTGACTGCAGTGCCTCGCATCACTATCGCGCATCTCAGCTGGTCAAAGTCAGGTCTTGCGAACATGCAAACAACACAGAAAAGCTCTGGCCAACGTTGCAACTCATTGCAACTCCACTTTTTGATTGCCTCACATCTTAGGCAAAAGTTGGATGTGCTCAGTTCGCAGGCAAAGTGTGCAGGTGCTGAGCGACTCCGTGAATTCCAGCAATCTACTCATTCAGTTTTGTTCGAGTAGAGATTTCTGAGCAACCTGTGTATACATGCCCTACGCATAATGTTGCAAGACAATTCACCTAATTAACCCAGGATTTTCATGGAATGAAGTAGCATGCTCCATTTGCAGTTGCCCATGGCTGGCGCAATCACTAAATTCCTTCAGGTCATCGCGCAGTAATCGAAGCTTCCTATGCATTCGGGCGTTTCCACACAGCTGAAATGACAGCAGCAGGTGCAGTAGGGACAAATTTGAGTAGTCAAAACGACAAACTGCTGTAGTCGATGTGACTCTTCAGTGCAAAGCTGAAGGAGGCTTCGTTTTCTGCCTTTGTTTTGCAAGGCAAGTACCCGCCATCCCAGACCTTCATCTTGGGCTGTGGTGTAGCAGGGCTCGCAGCCATTGGAACTTCCAAGGCAATGGGCTCTGTGGGGGTACCAAGCGACAGTGTGTGTTTGGAGATTTGTTATACATTGGGTTGGAGGCCATCGCTATTAGGAGGCCATTGCTATTAGGTTGGAGGCCATCGCTACTAGGTTTGAAGCAATCACTATTAGGTCGGGGACCATCGCTACTAGGTTTGAGGCGATCGCTATTAGGTTGAAGGCCATTGCTATTAGGTTGGAGGCCATCGCTATTAGGTTGAAGGGCATCGCTACTAGGTTGAGGCCATCGCTATTAGGTTGAAGGCCATTGCTACTAGGTTTGCGGCCATCGCTAGTAGGTTGAAGGCCATTGCTACTAGGTTTGAGGCCATCGCTATTAGGTTGCAGGCCCTTGCTACTAGGTTGGAGCCCATCGCTAGTAGGTTGAAGGCCATTGCAACAGCTTGGTTGCAGGCCATTGCTACTAGGTTGGAGGCCATCGCTATTAGGTTGAAGGCCATTGCTACTAGGTTGGAGGTCATCGCTATTAGGTTGAAGGCCATTGCTACTAGGTTGGAGGCCATCGCTAGTAGGTTGAAGGCCATTGCTATTAAGTTTGAGGCCACCGCTACTAGGTTGAAGGCCATTGCAACAGCTTGGTTGCAGGCCATTGCTACTAGGCTGGTGGCCATTGCTATTAGGTTGAAGGCCATTGCTACTAGCTTGGAGGTCGTCGCTATTAGGTTGAATGCCATTGCTACTAGGTTGGAGGCCATCGCTATTAGGTTGAAGGCCATTGCTACTAGGTTGGAGGTCGTCGCTGTTGGGTTGAAGGCCATTGCTATTAGGTTTGAGGGGAGCGGACATTTTTTCAAGAAAAGCTTTGCTCAGTCTCGATGTGAGCTCCATGGACTCCATGGACTCCATGAGCTCGGTGCGCATTATTGTCACCATCCATCACTTCGCTCGACTGGTGAAATAGTCAAAGGAAGTTTAGTGTACGAAACTTCCGTGTTACGGACATTCAAGAACCACTCATACACCACTCATCATACACCACTCATCATACACCACTCATCAATACACCACTCATCATACACCGCTCATCAAGACACGACTCATCAATACACCACTCATCAATACACCACTCATCATACACCACTCATCATACACCGCTCATCAATACACCACTCATCAATACACCACTCATCAATACACCACTCATCATACACCACTCATCAAGACACCACTCATCAATACACCACTCATCAATACACCACTCATCATACACCACTCATCATACACCACTCATCATACACCACTCATCAATACACCACTCATCATACACCACTCATCAATACACCACTCATCATACACCACTCATCAATACACCACTCATCATTACACCACTCATCATACACCACTCATCATACACCACTCATCATGCACCACTCATCATACACCACTCATAAATAAGACACCACTCAGTGAACCTCGAGGTGCAGATTTCGTGGCAGGCGCAGCGCTTTGTGAAGGTCCATGTGCAGATTTCGTGGCAGGCGCAGCATTTTGTGAACCTCCATGTGCAGATTTCGTGGCAGGCGCAATGCAAAATGCGTGTTCGAGAGATAGCGGACGCACGAAATGCTGTATTTTTCAAAAGAACCGGTGGCTTCGAACCTGGCAAGTCTAGCTCTGCGGAACGACGGTTGCGAGACGGTCTCGGGTCATGCTCGGGTCATGTTCGAATCGTCCCTCCATTGTGGTTCGAGTTTTCACTTGCTTCTTGAAGTGCAGATTTCGTGGCAGGCACAGCACTTTGTGAACCTCCATGTGCAGATTTCGTGGCAGGCATAGCACTTTGAATCTCCATGTGCAGATTTCGTGGCAGGCACAGCACTTTGTGAACCTCCATGAGCAGATGTCGTGGCAGGCACAGCACTTTGTGAACCTCGCGGTGCAGATTTCGTGGCAGGCGCAGCGCTTTGTGAACCTCCATGTGCAGATTTCGTTGCAGGCGCAGCATTTTGTGAATCTCCATGTGCAGATTTCGTGGCTGGCGCGATGCAAAATGCGTGGTCGAGAGATAGCGGACGCACGATATGCTGTATTTTTCAATAGAACCGGTGGCTTCGAACCTGGCAATTCGATCGACGGTTGCGAGACGGTGTCGGGTCATGTCGTCCCTCCATTGTGGTTAGAGTTTTCACTGGCTTCTTGATGTGCAGATTTCGTGGCAGGCACAGCACTTTGTGAACCTCCAAGTGCAGATTTCGTGGCAGGCACAGCACTTTGTGAACCTCCATGTGCAGATTTCGTGGCAGGCGTAGCACTTTGTGAATCTCCATGCGCAGATTTCGTGGCAGGCACAGCGCTTTGTGAACCTCCATGAGCAGATGTCGTGGCAGGCGCAGCGCTTTGTGAACCTTGAGGTGCAGATTTCGTGGCAGGCGCAGCGCTTTG